CCACCTCCATCACGGCTAAAATCTAGACATTCTCATAACATACTGAAATTTTTATTTAGTAAAATTGATGTCCTAAAGATGTGTCCTTTAGTGATACAATCCTCGAAACACTGCCCCATCCAAAATAATGATTAGTTTCTATCGCAATGCCTACATAATAGATCAAATTTAATTTTAACTAGGGTTGCTGTAAAACTTTCTCTACTACGTATATTTCCATTTATTTTCTAATTTTAGTTTATACCTAATGATTATTTATCCAGTAATATATACAACATCTGACCCTTTAAAAAAGTATTTTAAAAATCATTTTATCATATTTCCTAATCAGGATACTTTTCTCGTTTAAATTTTTTTGAGTTTTCTTTCAACAATGCACTTTTATTTTAGCTTGTATCTCATTTAGAAATAAAGAGCATGCATTTCCCCATGTCAATGATCATCCTGAAGAGAATAAAAAACCTTTTTCAATCGTAAAGACTATTTCTACAGCTTCAAGTTTTCTAATCTCTCGTCATGCATATATTCTTCCAACATCTGTATGATTTTTCTCCTCCTCCACTGTAATTCAGTACAGGTAGTTAAGAGTAGCTAACAATATAATTCCACGTGATATTGCAATTGTGTTTACATCTGGCTCTAATCACATGATTGAAAGTGATTTATACAGGTAAATCCAAAAGGGGAAAAAGCAAAATAAAAACACAACTATGAGAAATTATTATGCTGTTATTTAAAAAATATTCTCAAGTTTCTTAGCACATGCTTCCAAAGCTACTACATAGAAGAGTATGTATGCCATTTAAAAAATACAAGAGACTAGAGGAAGGAAGAAAACAGTACTAAGCAAATATTTCACATGCTTTTTAATATTAGGGTCATCCTAATAAATGATTAATACTTTCCATTTATAGGATACTTTAAGTTTTTCTCCATGCTACAATGTATCTCATGACTTTGTGGGAAAGTTTCTCAGTTCATAAACATGTAAGGGAATCACACCTATCCACTACTGAGCCCTGAGGATTCAGAATACTAAATTAAAGAAATACCTGTCAGAAAATGAAAAACTATTTACACACACACACAAACACACACACACACAAACACACACACACACACACACGTAAAGAACCATGATGTCCTAAAATAAGAAATTAACACAGGGATTCCTGGTAATTCAATACCTATTTAATTCAAGATAAGGAGTCTGGTTATCCTATTATGGTACTGATATTGATGCATTTACAGAAACACCACTAAAAACAATTAAGGAAATACTTCTAACATTATACCCAATGAAAGGCTGAAAATGTACAGTTACATTAATATAACTATATGGACACAAAATGAAAAGACATAACTAAATACACTCTCCTGTAATTATTTATATGCAAAGGGATTTTTATTTATATAGTTTGTTGAAATAAATTATTTTAATACAAGCATACAACAATGAACAAAGATGTCTTTACTGCATTTAAGATCTCAAAGCAAAGTTATATTCCTTAATTTACAATGGGCAAATTTAATATATGCACTAATGTATGCACTAACTGATTCTTAACTAAAGAGGTGGGAGAAGGCCACCAGTAGGAAAAGACTTGAAGGGGAAAGAAAAGATAAAATCTAAAACTCGCTGACATCTGAGTGACTGCTAGTCACCACCTCCTTTAGTAGCTCTCTGCCAACCCATCCATAGCCTAAGTCCAGATAAGACATAGAAAAATAATTACACAGTATTATCAATTAATTAATTGTAATTTTTCTTACTACTCTTAACCTTTTACCATTTTAGATGTATTTAACATTTAAAATACATATTTTAAGGGATCTTACTATGAATTTTTAAAGACGATTAAAAAGTATTCCAAATATGCAAAATAAATACGGGTCAATTATTACACATTCTTCTTCAAACTTGAGAACATAAACCTTTTTTTTTTTTTAATTTTTTATTGGATTATAGGTTTTGGGGTACATGAGCAGAGCATGCAAGACAGTTGCGTAGGTACACACATGGCAGTGTGCTTTCTTTTCTTCTCCCCTTCGCTCTAAAACAAGAATAGCAATCTCAATTAGAGATTTAAATAACTCAGATTTATAAAATTATTTAAGTTAAAACATTCCTGCTTCTTTCTAGTTTGAACAAACTAGAAAATGCTTATGCCTAATTTAACCAAGGCTAGTTTTAAGTAACAGTAAGACTTAGAATTATACTGAAGGTTCCAATCAGCACAGTAGAAACTTATGATACTACTACACCAATAATCATTTTTGTTAGCATCCTCTACTGGTGGTTTCCAATGACAGCAAGGGGAAATGGTGCTGATGACAGAAGGATATGGACCTGCTATTCCATCTAAAGAGAATTAATCAGCATGTGGTCATCAGTAGCTGGAGTACATCTCTTAAAAAAAAAAAGAAAGAAAAGAAAAGAAAAAAGAAAAGAAGAAAACCACACAGAAGCAAGCAGAAAAAGAGAAAAGACAGATTTTTAAAAATATAACAAAGCATTAAATTACAGATGGTAAAAACGAATCAAGAAATTCTGTCACTCCTTTATAGATGACTAACATCATTATCATAAAGTTATCACACAAGGTTTGATGCTTTGGCCAAACCTTACTCAATTGGTTTACCCCTGTCAGTTACATTACCTGATACTCCCTTTAATATCCTACCTTCAGACATATTCCAGAAAGGAAATTAAAAGGTTTTAAAGAAGCTTTAGCAGCAAAATCCACACATCTTATTTCAAAATGAATAAAATATATACATATATATATAACAACATAAACTATCTCTATGACAATCTCCCACTGTATACATCATTCCTTCATTAAAAAGATTTAAGAGTTAACATTTTGCCAGGTAATTCCTTCCAATAAACATCTGCAACTTAAATATGACTGCATTGCTAAGAAATATTAACCAGCAGATATACCGAGGTTTCACAACACAATGGAATATAACTTCATTTTTAATTTGCAAAATATAAGGCTAAATCAAATAGCATGGCTATAATCACCAGCAATGGATGAAATACATTTGAGAACAAAAAGAAATACAAGGACAGAGCCAAAAGTGATGAAAATGGAAGATACCTGTAGTAGTACAGTGCTATCTTAAACACCTTTTGTTTTCTGAGAGTAATGCATACTGCAGACAAGACGTTTTGTGCTAAACAGCCGCAAATCTGTTTTTCTAATATTAAACACAAAGGAAAAACACTGACAGAAAGCGTGGTAAATAAATCCCTCCCTGGAGAATGAAAGCAGCAGACAGGAGGGGGCTGACATACATGCAGGAGAAAACTAAACACCATCTTTTTTCTACCTGCACAAGTTGCCATTTGCTGCAGCGATCAAGAACCTCTCTTTCCTGTTGATTTCAAGTACCTTTCAGGATCGCTTTTCCCCCTTAAGTCATCTGTTGATATGCCTTACGAGCGTAATATTCATATCACAGGATCTTAAGGAGAAAAATCCATTCTTTCCTGTTCAGGTAAACATGTTTACAGCAGCTGCACAGACACTGGGTGGTTCAGACTCACATGTCACACACATGTCGTCAGCAACAAGAAAAGCCCCTTTCTCTGGCGATCAACATTTTAAATAAGGTAAAAAGCGAACAGTCCTTTCCGAATCAACTTACCTTTCATAAAGCCACATCAGCAAGAGCGGTAAAAGCTCAATATAGAACACACACTATTTGACGCTAAAACAGGAAATTAAAATTGCAATAGCCTATGCTCCACTCCTTGCTATAATAACTCATCTCTCCACAATGAGGATACCAAAATACCTTTCGATCATAATCAATAGACGTCTTTAAAATGCAAGTGTTTATATGAATAATTAAAATCACTCATAAAAGCAGTAATTTTAATGTCGGCTCGAATATATTAAAAATATGTTTACGAATTGGAAGGAAACGTCTTGAAACAGCTTTAAAATCTTCGTATCTGCTTCTAGACAGGAAATCCCACACAAAATCTAAAATTGCTAGGAAAGGTTACAAAACCTCGCGTTTCGCATCCCAGAGGGGAGGGAGAAAGGGAGCTCAGGCGCGGGGGTGGGGCGGGGTGGGGGTGAGCAGGAGAGAGTTTTCTCCTAAACACGTTATTTCCTCGTTTTCTCGACGCTGCAGCGGTCCCATTATAGACGCATTTATTCCCCTTCTCTTACAAGTCGTTTTAAAAAGAACGCAGGAACCGAAGCGAGCCCCTCGGTCCGAAATGTACGTGTAATTCCTTATATAGCCTGGGCTGCGGCCGGCTGCAGGGCCGTTTGCCGCCCATTATTATACAAACAGGTACCGGGGCGGCGCAGGCGGGGGCTGCTCTCCCGGAGCTCCCGCCGCCCCCGGGCGGACAAGTCTCGCCCCTCTCGCCACAGGAACTGTCCAGACAATAACAATCAGCAGACATTTCGCTGCTGCACGAGAGGGAGAGAAAGCACAGCATCGCCCCCAGATAAACAGAAATACAATCAACTTACAACGTCTCTCCAAACTGGAAAAGGCGACTGTGCAACCACCACCACATGTTCGGTTCTCGATCCCTCGGGCTGTCTCTCTCTCCCTCGCTTTTTTTTTTTTTTTTAACTCTCACGCCAGGCAGAGGGGTGTGTTTCCCTGGCACAGCAGCACAAATCAATAAACACCGCAGCTGCCGCGCGAGCAGCAGCCCCGCGCGTCCGTCGGTCCGTCCGCCCCCTCCCCCACCCTCCTTCCACCCGAGACCCAGAGCGCCATCCAAGCCCTATTATCCGGCTTCAGCGCTCCGTGCGTCCGGCCCAGGTAACAACTTCCCCAAAAACCGAAAGAGAAAAGCTCGAGGCGCACGCACACCAGCCCATCCTGGGGCGGAGACCGCGTCTGCCCGGGGAGGGGGATCTGTCTGTGGTGCTTCCCTGTCCCTAACCAGGTAACAACTCCGCAAACACACCCGCCGCCCAGCTCGCCGCCATCCGCGCAGCTCCTGGCGGCGTTAACTGGGTGCACTGCCTGTCCTGTCCCCGCGCCGCCCCGCCAAACATGTACCCCACTCGTGGGGGTCGCCGCAGAGTCCCCAGGCCGGGGCGCTGGGCCGGGCGGCGGGAGGCGCCGGGGAGGAGGGGCGCTTAGGGACCCGCGCCCCCGCGCCTCTAATCCCCGTTCCGCGAGCGCGCCCGGCCCGCCGGTCCCAACTTTACCGCCGCCGGCCGAGCCCCGTCAGCCCGCGGCGCGCACCGCCGGCGCCCGCGCACACGCGCGCACAGACCCCACGCAGCCCGTGGCCGCCCCGTCCCGCCACCGCCCGCCGCGCGCCCACAACCCGGCCCGAGTGGCGGGGCCCGAGCGAAGGCGCCGGCCGGGGCCGCGGCGCGCGGAAGCCACTTTGCACGGTCAGCGCCGGGCACAAGTTTGTTCCGCGGCTCCCGGGGGCCTGGGCGCTGAGGGAGAATCCCACTGAGGGGGCCGGGAGGAGGGGGAGAGGGAGGCGCCGAAGGGCACAAGAGTGGGGAAAAGTGAGGAAAGAAGCAACAGCCGCTCCACCCGGGACCAGAAAAGTGGCCGGCGCGTCCCGGCCGCCCGCCCTGCGCCGGGGATGCGGCGGCGGCGGCGGCGGCGGCTAACGGTCCAGGGAGGCGGCAGGGGCGGCGGGAGCCGCTAGGCGGAGAGAGACCAGGTAAGAGACATAACGGTTCAGGGAGAGCGAGCGGCCGCGGCGCGGCTCCGGCAGCGTCGGCAGCGGAGGGGGGCAGAGAGCACTACTTTCTACTTTCCCACTCCACTTTGCCGTCCCTGCCCCGGCCGCCCCCAGCTCGGCTCGCCCCCCTCACCTCCGGGGGCGCCCCGGCTACCCGGCTCCCCCTGACTCCGCCGCTCCCCGGTCCCCTCCGCCACTTACCGTTATTGCGCCGCGGGTTCGCCTGCTTTCTGCGCTTACACCTGGGGCCATCCGCCATGATCCTCTCGCTTGTGTCTAAATGCTCGAGTCACCTCCTCCCCCTCCCTCCCCCTTCCCCCCCACCCCTCCGCCTCCACCCCTCCCCCCTCCCCACCGCACCTGGTTTACGACACTCGCGGCTTTACGACATCACCTTCCTTACACCTAGAGGCGCTCGCTCTACGGCCGGAACCTTGTTGCTAAGGACCGGGCAGTTTGCGGCAACCGTGGGCACTGCTGAGTTTGAATTGAGGGGCGAGGGAAAAGTTTTCCTCAGGTGTGGTGGGGCGAGGGAGAGGCGGGTGTTGGGAAACCGTGGGGACGTGGTCTGAAGGGCCACGGGCTGTCGCAGTTGGAAAGGTAAAGTTGGAGGCTCCGCGGCGTCCTGCCTCCGCGCTGACCACACCCGCTTCCCGGGGCAGGGAGGGATCTGGCAGCTTTTCCCGTGGATCCTGTGCCCTCGGAGCTGCCCCTTCCAGCGCCCCGAGGTCCCCGCCTGCCTGCTTCCTGGAGGTAGGGCTGCCATCAGTCCCACGCCTCGCGTGTCTGCTCCGCTCACCCCGGGGCCAAGGAAAGGGAACGTGGTCTGGACTCCCCGGGGACTTCCCTTGATGAGGGGAAGGGCAGGTTTGGGGACGCCGAGGACACGCGGCGCCCGGAGACAGGCTACCTGACCCACGCAGCCCGGACTCCCTTCCCTTAGGGACGCACGGTTTCCCTGCGAGCGAACCGTGATGGGAATTGACTTCAATGAGATTGAAGTTCAGCTGGACTGAAAAAGAGGCGAGAAGTTCCGCTTGCCAGCAGCCTCGTTAGCAGAGCGGAATGAGTAATACCCACACGGTGCCTGTCTCACTTCCCCATCCGCACCCGGCTCTCACCTGCTGTCACCTCGGCCTCCCCCACCCGGTCCTCGCTCTCCTCCCTCCTCCTCTCGTAGACCCCTGGGATCCTGGGTGGCAGGACTCAGAGCTAAGGTATTCACAGGCCATGATTTCCTTCCTAAATGAGGGGTCATCGCCGTTCAGGACGATATTTCAGGCAAGAAACAACAGCTGACAGATGTGGTCTCTGAGCCCGATAGATTGCTGATTTTATCTTAAGTCCTTGGTGTAAGTTTGGGGATTTCTGAAAGACCATGCAGATAATACCACAAATATCAAGAAAGTCGTCTTCAGTATTCAGTAGAATGTAGATTTAGGTTTCTCTTCCTGCTTCCCACCTCCTTAGAATAAGGAAACGTCCTTGGGACCAACTTTATGGAATAAATGAGCTGATCTGTATTTCAAGTAATATAAATTAACAATGTAGGAGTTTATTGATAGAGAAATTGAGAAAACGGAAAAGTGGCCAGAGTATTGGAAATAACTAGTAAATCACCTAGCTCATAGTAGGTGCTCAATAAATTTATGCTTATAATTTTTGCCACCTCTATGGCAGGATTTTTTTTTATTAGGTTAAAATTTAACCACCTTCTGGAATTTTAGGATATTCATTAATAATGTCTTCAAACCTTTCAACTGAAATAAATTTACAACTGAAGTCTGGTGATTTAAAGTTAGAAAGTTTAATCTTGAATATAGATGAACATTTTCTCTCCCACATTTTCTTGGGCATTTTGAGAAGTAAATGCATTATTTCTAGGTCCTGAAATGTAACTGTAAATATTCTTTGCTATGCATTATGTCTATGTATCTGCACTCATCCTCAGTGCCAAAACTAGAATCATTATTCTTAATGATCATTTCAAGTACAGGCAGTATTCGCTTTCCATTCACGTACCATGTTAACTGAAATTTGTGCATGTCAACACAGTGTCCTTGCTTTGCTTGGTTAAGTGTGAGTTCTTCCTCCACTTTTAAGAGTTGTACAATGTTCTTCAGTCACCTCCCGAATCAGCTGATAGACTATGAAATTGCCCCCACCCCACCAACATTTTTTCAGCTACCCTAACTTCTGACCAGAAAGGAAAAAAAAATACTTTCCAACTCCAGCACATGTATACCTACTCTTAAACTTAGGAAGCACTACAAATAGCATTTTCTTGTGTTCTCGTTCTGGCCTGTACCTCCTTCCCAAGCTTCCTTCGGTGTTCATCCTTACCTCATAATCATAAAGAGTTGAAGCAAAGAGACAAATTGAGAAGTCATTTTCTTCCCTCCTTTAGTGGTTTCTGGTTTTTTAGTTAGTTAGGGCCAGACTGTGGACAAATACCTTTTCAGGCAACTTTTTTCCCATGTTGCTATGTCCTCAACAAATAGTGGAGTACATGGCCAATAGTAGATGCTTGATAAACATTTCCTAAATAAATTAATGTTGTTGCCCTTTTCTGAGCCTGTTGTTGGCAGTAAAATACATAATCTGCCTTCATCCCTCCCGTTAGTCCTTAGGAACAGCTAAAGTCATGGATGTGAAAGTGATTACTGTCAGTTATATCCAAACTAAAATTCCTCTTGATTTTAGTTTCTCCATTATCATTTTCCCTAAACAATTAACTCTGTTCACCTGATTTTTTAAATGTGCACAGTGAATATTATTGGTAGCCCAAATCTTCTAACATAAAATTTCCATTTTGTAAAAGCTGATAAGTATGTTATGAATTAAATGTTTAATTATTTATCATACTTTATTTACTGTAATGTTCTTGAAAATATTGATATCTAGACTGGAAAGAAAACAGACAATAGCAAATCTCAGAATACTTCTGAGTACTTAAAGCAGAATATTTCTGCTTTGAACATAATGCATGTGTGACAGTTGCTTATCTCTTAAATATAACTAAAGAATGGGGGAAAAAATCTTTAGAATCAGTTTATAAAAGAAGTTTATTAAAATTTGGGTTTATTCAACTCAAACAGGGTAGGGGATACTAATATATGAGTTTAACGTGTATCCCACATTCTTGGTTTTAGTAATTGTAGTGCCGTCATACGCCATACATTCAATATATATGTTTATTTTTAATATGTCAATGAAATGTTAACATTATGCTTCTACTGAGCACTGGGATTATATATGCTGAAGGGAAGATATTCTAAAAATGAATTGCTGTACTAACTTTTCCAAAATTGGGGAAAAATGTAAATGGGTAGAATATTTTCAATACTGAGTTTTTTCTATAAATTTTTCATAAACCCTTTGCACCTGCTATTTGATTTTCACATATGATTCATGTATAAATTAGGATGAAATTTGACATAAAATTATCTTAAGTTTAAAATTTAGAGATTTCATGGTGTTCCACATGAAGCATATCATTCCCACATACGTCTCTTCCAAAACACATTGAGAAGTGCAATGTATGATTCTCTAGTCTTCATCAAAATCTAAAGTTAGTTAATCATGGAGGGATAGCATGTAAATACCACTCTTGAATTCAATAGCTAATTTTAACCTTAGAGTTTTGAAGTAAAAAGAAGAAATGTGGTACATGTTATCCCTCAAAGTACAGAATCTAGAGGTCTCATAAAGCTGCTACTCAGTCCTTGGCTCTGACCGTGGCTCATGACCTGCAGTAATTCTGGATTTGTGGTTCACTGTGGAACAAAGGAGAGCAATGGTCATTTCACGGTTGCAGTCTCACCAAATTCTGCAATCACTGAGTCAGGAAGGAAACATGACTACAGGATGATGCAGAACCAACAGTTGGCCACAGGACCCATGCCAGCCCTTCGAATATAGCCTCCCGGGAAGTATCACAGGGACAAACGTTTTCTCCATACCTCCATGTGGTTTTGTCACATAGTTTACCACAAATGAAGCTCCTATTTTTAATATAAGTAAATGAAGTGTTAACACATGAAGTTTCTTATTTAGGGGGCAATTTTTCAGGAGCATGTCTAATACGGAAATAGATATAAATATATGGAGAAAGGTAAACACCATCCAAGTGAACATCCAAAAAGTGAAACTAGTATTTTCCATGAAGTCACAATGATTAAAAAGGATTTCTTTCAAAGGCTGACTCCATAGAAGTTACATTGTAGTTTCTATTACTAATATTACGTATGAATATGAATAGCATTTAATTTTTTTTTACACTTAGAACTATATGTAGGTAACTTGAGAAAAAGCAGCACAAATATTTTTGATTTAAGTGAATTTTAAGTAATTACCATGATATCAGGGGTTTGATACCTGGTTTCTACCATTGTTTTTTCTCTTTTGTCTCTGTGTATTTCTTTTCTCGGTCATCTTCTTTGAGCAGCTGATTGATTCTGTTACAGAGTGTGGCTGTATCTTTGACCTGCAGTGCTGGCGTTCTGTAAGTTGCAGATCCTCAGTTACAGTCATTGCCTCTGTTCAGTCCTTGGTGTACATGCCTTTAAAATGTTTGCAGTCAGTAACAGGTTTTAGATGTTCTACCATTGTATTAAACTTACATGAGAAAGTTGGTGATAAATACCCTGTGTCCAATTAGATCCACAACTTTAAGACCCTTCTCATTCTCTTCAGACCTCATGCCTCTATTTCTTTGCTTGCTGTCTTTATCCTGCTTACATAAATAGATCAGACATGGTGCCCCTCCTCACTGTTTTACTTTGTAATCATTCCCTTCCTCTATCTTTCTTTGTCCCAGCTCTGTTTGGATCATTTCCCTTCTCTTTTTGTATAAAATTTTTTGAATCGTTCCAACTCTGTGAAATGCTTTGCTTTTTCATATTATCCCTGTTATACTTTGTCCTTCAAAGTCCATCTCTGCCTTTCCATGCTCTGCGAGGCTGACTTCTGTTGAAGTC